TCCTGACCCGCCGTTGGCCCTGCTGGGATTGGCTGAAGTCTGAGGAGACCGTGACTGGACCCCCACCCCTCACCCTCGCCAAGCCTGGAGTATTGCTCAAGGTATTGGGTAAGTAATTTCCTTCTTACACAGAAGCTGTCTTTTCTGACCTGCCCTCATTTTCAGGGCTAGGCAGTCCTTCCTCAATCTCGATCATGGATATTGATGGCAAGCCTACCTGCCCCAGGTGTACCAGCCCTTTACTACTCATTTCTTCCTTATAATCCCTTCTTGCCCGGTCCCTCTGTTGGGAAAAGGCATTTTACATTACTTAAAAACCTCCTTACACCTTACTTTTGGTCTCACAGCACCTCTGCTCCTTCCCCTTCTTTCACCCAACCTGGAAGAACTGGCCATACAGAACTCATTGCTTCCCAGTGTTAATCCATCATACAAGCCTCATTACTCTTACCCACTCTCCCTGCAGCACTCCAATCTTACCAGTTGGAAACCAAATGGCACTTATCATTTGGTCCAGGACCTGTGCCTCTTTAACGAAGCTGTTATCCCCATACACCCGGTCCCGGTAGCTCTCAACCCCTATACTCTCTTGTCCCACATTCTTCCTTCTACTGTATCTTTTTCACCACCAGCCCTTAACCCAGCTTGTCAGCATTAATTTGCCTTTACCTGCAGCCCTCTCCTAAAACAGTTCTAAAGCAGACACAGCCAAACTCCCTTAACTTCTCTCTCCCTCCAAGACACACTTATCTCGTTCAGCTGCTATCTGTTTAAGCCTGTGCCCCACTCCCACCACTCAGAGTTTAACTTTAAATAAACACTACATCATAAAGAACCTCAGACCACTGACTTTGAGTAAACAAATACTATACATTAAGTCCCCAATTTTTCCCTTATAACTAAACCATTAAACTTCCCTAGAGCGGTCACAGTATCCTTTATACAACGCAGCAGAAGCAACTCCAAACAGACCTTTAACCCTTTGGTGACACTTAGTTAATACAATTTTTATTTCAGTGAATGTTTAAGTCTAGATGGAAACAGTAAATTTCAGAAGGCCAGAGTAAGTTACAAATAATTGGAAAGAGTTTGGATAGAATGTCTGGCTGTGCCAGAATGTGAAGAAGTTTAAAAGTTACGGAAAGTTGTTTGCCGAGGAGAAGTTAATAAAAAAGAATGATTATGTTCATGGTAAGAAAGATTAGTGTAAAAGGTCATCAAGCTGATATTTCCCCTGATAGCTCATGGGAAAGTGACAGAAAAACAAGGCCACTCCTGTTGGCCCCCTAAACTTTCCCTAGTTAGTCAAAGCTGCCTTTAACAAACCCCGACACGCCCTCCTTCACCCCCACCCCTGCGTCTACCAAACCCTGTCAAACCGTTTACTAAATACACAGGCAAAAAACAAGGTATAGCAGTCGGAGTCCTGGCTCAGCCCCTGGGGCCTGCTCTATCTCCTATAGCTTGTCTGTCTAAGCAACTAGATAGGACAGTCAGAGGCTGGCAACCCTGCCTCTAGGCCCTCACCAAAAAAGCCCTAAAATTAACACTGGGGGAGCCTATCCAGACGTTGTCCACCCACAGGCTGCAGGACCTCCTCTCACACCAAGTCCTGTCTTTGCTGTCTCCAAACTGCTTGTAGGAAATCTATCTCATGTTTATCGAAAATCCTAACATAACACTGTGCCAGGCTCCCTCTTTAAACCCAGCAACCCTCTTGTCTCAGCTCCTAGACTTGCTGGAACTTAGCAATCACTCCGGCCCCCAAGCAGTTGAGGAACTAACACTGCCCTGACCCAGATTCTCTGATCAACATTATCCTAACCCAGATCTAACTTTGTTTGTTGATGACAGTTCTGTCCTAAATGCCCAGGGGCAACGCAGGCTGCATATACTGTCCTCTCACTTAACCAAGTCTGGAAAGCTGCATGCCTCCCAAAAACTACTTCTCAAAAAGCGAAACTTGGTGCTCTCACTTGAGCTCTCCATCTAGCTAAAGGAAAAAAAACGGCTAATATGTATTCTGATTCTAAGTATGCGTTCCTTATAGCTCACTGTCATGCCACTATCTGGAAGGAGCGGGATTTCCTGACTACCAAAGGGTCCCCCATAGTAAACGGTAAATTAACAGTGAATCTCTTACAGGCTCTTCAGCTGCCAGCAAAGGTAGCCATCATCCATTGCAAAAAACATCAAACTGATAACTCTCTTATCTCCCTCCAAAGGCACTGAACATCCTTAGCACGAGTCACCCTACAAAATTGCCAAGCTCTTGACTTATTAACAGCAGATAAAAGAGGAACATGCATGTTTCTAAATAAAGACTTTTGTTATCATATTAATGAATCGGGCATAGTTAAACAAAATGTTAAGGCACTCCGCACCATGGCCAATAAAATCAGGAAATGTCAATGGAGCACCACCAACTTCTCATGGTTTCAAAATCCTCCAATGGCCTGGGTTATGCCCCTCATTGGGTCTCTGATCATAATCTGTGTACTTTTTGCTTTTAGCTCTTTGTGTGTTTAGATTCTTGCAGGAAGGGATAAAAGATATCTCCAATCTGACCTTCAATCAGCTTGTTCACCCTTATAGTCACTGCGGACTGGACCGGCCCCCAAACCTTCCAACTCTTAATCCCCTTCTTCACCCTATCTCAGCAGGAAGTAGTTAAGACAGAAAAACGTCGCTCCATTACCAATATTAAGAAGTTTGGAATGTTTGGGCCTGGTCTGAACTAGGCAGCCCTCGTCTGGACTAAGCTGAAGCAGGTCTGGGCCCTGCTCGTGCTTCCCTGCACATCCCAAATGTCAGCAGCAGCTGGCGCCAGATAAGATCACTGCCAGATAAGATAACCAGTGAAACCAGATGTTCTGTTCAAAGAAAGTTTCCAGACCCCATATGCTAATTGCCATACATTTCTCACCACCACTTTAAAAACCCTCGCCCCCAGCTGCTGAGCAGGACTTCCCTGACCTGCTGGCCTACTTCACAGATCCTGGAGTTCCCCCCACCTAATAAAGCTATTTCTGTTTCTGCTCCCCCTTGTCTTGTCAGTTATGTCCGTCTTCCTCCCTGTTCCTCAGTTCCGCTTTACATATAGTACTTTCAATATTCTTTGTTAATACCATAGTTCAAATGCATCAAATCTTATAACATTTTAAGCAGACTAATTCAACTCAACTCACAGCCATTGAGTTGATTCTAGTGACCCTATAGGACAAGGTAGCATTGTCCTTGTAGGTTTCCAAGACAATAACTCATTACAGGAGTTGAAAGCTTCATCTGTCTCCAGCAGATCAGGCTAGTGGTTTTGAACTGCTGGCCTTGCAGTTAACAATGCATCATGAATAATAACCATTATAACACCAGGGCTCCTAAAAGCAGAGTAAAGGCTTGTTAATAAAAACAAAAATATAGTGAGATTATAGTGAATAATTATTTTCCTTTCAGTGTAAAAGGCTTTCAGGGGATTCTATTGCTCTCAATATAATAATATGTAAAAACAATAAGTTTCATGTCCTAAAGAACGTTTTGCAATGATGGACATGTTCTATATCATCACTCTCCAATGTAGCAATAGTGCAAGTGGTTATTGAGCATATTTGATATGGTGTGAGTGGCTGTGATTACCACACTGTACCTCAGATCTCAAGTATTTCTTTCTTGCTTGCTAGTTACACTATAATAGAGGAGCTCTGGTGGAATAGTGGTCATCTGTTGGGCTGTGGTTTGAAAGGTCAGCAGTTGGAAACAACCATCTGCTCTGTGGGAGAAAGCAAAGGCTTTCTACTCCCTCACATAGTTAGTCTTGCATACTCATGGGGCAGTTGTAGCCTGCCTATAAGGTCACTACAGTCAACATCAACTCAATGGCAGTGAGTGAGTTGCACAATCACAGGAATCCTGATGGCATAGTGGTTATGCACTGGGCTGTTAACTGAAAGGTTAGTAGTTCAAAGCCAGCAGTCCTCTCCCAGGAGAAAAGTGAGAGTCTTTACTCTCATAAAGAGTTAGTCTCTGAAACCCGTGAGCAATTCTATTTTGCCTATGCAGTGGTTCTGGAACTTCCTAATACCCCTTTAATAGAGTTCCTCATGATGTGGTGACCCCAACCATAGTTATTTTCATTACTACTTCATAACTGTAATTATGCTACTGTTATGAATTTGTCGACCCCTGTGAAAGGGTTGTTCGACCCAGTTTTAGAACCGCTGCCCTATAGGGTCGCTATGTCTTGGAATCAACTGGATGGCAATGAGTTTGTAATTTTTGGAATTACACTATCATGTCTTGCAAATCCTTGGCAATCCATACCCATCTAGGCAGTCCACACAAAGAGGACTATATAGTCACACATACATTTCATTCTCATTTTCCTAACTCTTCCTCTGCTTCTCTTTCTGATCACACTGCTTTTAAAATTTCTTTTACATGCTATATTATATGTATCCTCTGGACCAAAGCACGTGGCATTGTTACATGTGCTCCTTCACCTCCCATCATTTTGCCTAACTGGCTTAATTTTTACTCACTTTTCAGTTATCCACTAAAAAGTCACTTTCTAAAAAAATGTTCTTCCTTGACCCCAAGATCCTCGCAATATCTTTCTTTCTAATCTTTTGTTCTCTCTGAGCCTTTTTGGTTAACAATTATGAATGCCTTTCTCGAGTGTAGAGACTGCAGCACTGTAGCACTTGGGTTAAGAGTACTTAACCAAGTGCATGGCGCACCTTTATGAGAGAGAAGGTACTCGTCGACTGGTCGCCCCACCTCCACATACCAGAACTTTAAAATCCTCCTAACCAGCCCGCAACTCGGTCCTTACTCCCCCAGGCAAAGTACAGTTGGCCTTAACCGGATCTGAAAGGACAACTCAGCCCGGGCCGCCTGTCCCTCCCCAGGAGCCGGGCAGCCGAGGCCTACGTAACCTCTGCTACATCCTTGCTCACAGGGAAGGAGGCGGTGACGGAGTCACATTGGTTCCAGCACCCACGTACCTTGGACACCGAGGAGGTGGCCATGGTCTTAGAGATCCGTGAAATTCCAGTTGCACACAGGATTTCCCGCGCGCTCTCGCGACAGAAGGGCAGAGGTTAGAGGCGGACAATGCGACTCCTTGATTGGCTGGCCTCGGCCTCCGGGTGGGGCTTCCGGCGCGCGGGGGCGTGGCGTACGTGCGGGGCGGGCGGGGCGAGCTTCGGCGAGCCGGCCATGGCGTGCGCCTTCCGCAGGTCGATCGCCGCTCAGGTACGAACCGTGGAGTGGGAAGCGCTGGCGTCCCCGCGGAACCCGGGCCTTGGAGCCTTTTTACAGCCGCGGACCCGTTTCCGCTCCTGCCTCACCCCGTTTCTGCCAGCTCCTCCCTCTGCTCGGGGTTTGCAGTGGCGGATCGGCAGAGGGACAGGATGAAAAGCAAACCTGGAAAGGAACGTGTGGTTTTCCTCGCTCCTTCTGACCTCACCGCGTCGTGTCCTTTGCGCGATTGGGAACTTACTGACCATGATCAGACCCTATGAAAGTTGGTGTTGCTTACATTCAGTGAAGTTTCTGATGGCCTTCACTTTCATTCCAGTGGATTTAAACTTTTGCAGACATTCATTTGGCATCCTGTCCTCGTTAGGTGCCATCGTAGCGCGTGGGTTCCAACTCCTCGCGACCTTACGCACAACAGAATGAAGCCGTGCCCGGTCCTGCGCCGTCCTCGCAGCTGTTCTGTTTGAGCCCATTGTTGCAACCATGGATGGTGTCAACCCATCTCCTTGAAGGTCTTCCTCTTTTTCACGACCCTCTTACCTAACTGTAGGATCCCTGGTGGTGGTGTGGTTATGAGTTAGGCTGTTAACTGCAAAATCTGCAGTTCAAAACCACCAGCTGCTCTGAGGGAGAAAAACGAAGTTTCTATTCCTCTAAAGAGTCACAGTCTCAAACAAGGGCAGGCAGTTCTACCCTGGCTTATGGGGTCGCTGTGAGTTGACTTAGGAAGTTACTCCATCCTCCCTAGTAGGGGGTGTTCATATTAGTAACACCAAAGGGACACTATCCTGGATTCAAAGTCATTGATTAATTAGAAGTGATTTAAAAAACTGCTACAAAAATCTGGAATTTACTTAAAAGAATTTTTAAAATTCATCTGCCACCTATGAAATTTTACAGGGGAATTTCCCCCTTTACCCTGGCTAGCCATGACATTTCCTTTTTTAATTTACAGATTTATCACATTCCACAAGTAACTTACCCACGGAAATAATGGGCACAGGTATATATAATGGACATTACATGTAGGAAACTGACACATGAGTTTGGACAGTTTACGAATCGTTTAACATGTGTTATTTGCATTTAAATATGGTCATTTGCCTGACAGACGTTCCCTGGGTTCATTTTTATTGTGTTTCTGGGCTTTTGTCCAAAAATCACTCTGCCTTGTCTTTCATTATACTCATCATGTATTATTGCCCTTTTGATGCTGTTTGTCCAAATATCATCACAACCCTTTGCTCACTTTATTAAAGGAGGCTACCACTGCAATAGAGCTTGCTGGTGCTTTG